CGAGGTCCCGCGCGGCGCCACCGCCTGCGCCGCGCCGAAATAAGCAGGTTCCGCAGACGCCTGGCAACACCCAGCCCCACAGGCCTGCGCGCTGCGCCTGCGCGCTCTTTTCCCCCCGCCCCCTAGGCGGGCGACGACGTCAGACTCCCACGCTCGGGCTTTGCCGGCGAGGTGAAGGTGGAGGGGCCGTGGGGACAGCAAGGCGTGTTCACGGTGTTTGGGGACCACACGGCCGGCCAGCATTAGGAGGGCTCGGTTTTCTCTTGTGAAGCGGGACGGCGCTAGCCCGGGGGGCGACGACAGCCTCGCGGCCGCTGCCTAAACTTAACACGAGCCGACTCGGGCGAGTCGGCGGCGCCCAGGCCACACGCAAACCCGGTCTGCGCCCGATGACGTCGCCAGGCCCCACCCACCACCCTCCAGTCCCGCCCTCCTCCGTGATTGACATAAGCCGAGCCCCTCCCACACCTTGGACAGGCAGCCGCGGGCGCCTGGAAAACCTGGAGCGCGGATGCGCCCGTCACGGTCAGGAGACCTCAGCAACACCTCAGCAACAGCCTGAGGGACGGTCTCCGCGGAAGCTTGGATTCACTGCAGCCAATCAGGTCACGTTCCTGGACGCTAGCCTGCCACTCTTGACCAATAGAAAGGCGTCTCATCTTGTGAACCAATCGGGATAAAACCCAGTCCTGGACGGAGCCAACGCCCCTCCCGGAGCATGGCGGGCCTGGGCGTGTGCGCCTGCGCGCGCCCTAGGAACCAATCGTAGACCAGTAGGCTTGGGCTGAGCCAATCAGAGCTGTGCCGGTGCCTGGCCTCCCAGTCCGGGATGGAGGCGGCGCCGGGCTGCGGGCGCTGGGAGGGCGGAGGTGGAGGGCCCGGCGCGGCCGTGCTGCGGGAAGGAGCGGGGTGTCGGCAGGCTGGAGGCTGGGTTCTGTTAACGTCGCTCCGTGGCGTTCTGCCTGGAGATGGGCGTGGAGGTGGTGGCGGAGGAGGCGGGCTGGGTCGTGGGCGGCATCGAGGAAACGGGGACTGAGCAATCTTCCGGCCCCCCGGGAGGCGTCATAGGCGCCTCCTAAAATGTGTATTTTCGCACTCAGCTTTAAAACAGCCTGTCTCTGGCCACTGCATCTTCGTCATCCTCTCCCAGCCATAATTTATGAGACGTTTGACCCTTCAGCCTGCACTAACTGGTCATTGCCATTTATCTCCATTAAACTGTGTCCTTGAGATGACGACCCCTCACATTTCTTGAGAATGCCATATTTTTCCAGTTCTGTCAGAGCTCAGTGTACCCTTCCGCCGTTCAGATTTCCCACAAGGTCACTGTAGAGTGGCCCTGGGTCTGAGTTCCTCTAACAGCAAAGCATTCTTTGCCATCTTTTCTGTCACTTGTCAGAGTACAAATGTGTATTCTAATACCGGAGTCCCTGGCTGCCTGTTGTTTCTGAACATTTAAAAAACATTCCGTATGCCTGAATTATCTAGCTCCAATGTAACTACAGATTTTCACTGAAAACAATTTAGAGCAACTGCCCTGTCAGACTGAAAATGTAAACTACTGTCTCTCCTTCTTTCATATCCATGGAGGTTTGGTTCCAGGACACCTCCCAGACCAAACGCCTGTACATGCTTAAATCCCTCACATGAAACGCCATATTTGGATTTAGCCTACACATTCTCCCATATACCAGTTATCTCTAGGCTCCTTGCAATACCTAATATATTGTAAATGTTAGGCAAATAGTTATTGTATAGTATTTGGGAGGGAGACATGAATCACATAACAAACATATGCTCAGTACAGAACACCATTCTCCAATGTTTTCAGACTATTGTGGGTTGAATACAGGAATACAGCAGGTTGCTGATAAAGCTCAGTCATTATTTTGGCCTACATAGGCCGGTCATTACTTCTTGATTCTGTGCTATGAAGATTTAAGAAGTTGAATCTTAGGCAGAGATAGGCAGTGAAGAAAAATTATGAGGAAGCATCAGGATTATTTCTGGGAGTTGAAACTCAAGAGGGTCTCCTCTCCCATTTTAAGCTAGTCGTGTAAGGAAGAGAACTAAAACTGAGAGAGCATGCGCAGGTGCTTCATGTCTGAATGGCTTGGCAGCGATGTTTCAAGAGGTTTACACAGGTGGTGTTAGAGCTGGCTTTAGAAGTCTGATTTTCTGAAGACAAGCAGGCTTGGCTGTGATATCTTCAGCTCTGTAGCAGCTAAGGTTTTCTGAGGAAAGGCAGAATGCTCCTGGTACAATTCAAACTATGTGTTTGGATGATGACATTTCCAGGTACATTGGGAACTAAATAGAGCCAAGAAGTGCCACATTTTCTTTGTGGCTATACCAGCCTGTGTTGGTTGCTTTTCTCACCACTGTGACCAAACACAAAACCGGCTTACAGGAGGAAAAGCAGCTAATTTTCACTCTTGGCTCGTGGGATTCAGTCTGTCGTGGTTGGAATGGCTTCCTGTGGCCAGAGCAGGAGGCCGCTTACCTATGTCTCTGAGGGTCTGGAAGCAGGGGACAGAGTTCTGGCTCTCCGTCCTCCTTCCCTTTTTAACCAGTCCAGTACCCTAGCTAGTAGGATGGCAGCACGTACAGTCCAGGTTGTTCTTCCCTGCTCTGGGTTAATCCTCTGCGGCATAGCCCTCGCGGACATGCCCACAAGTGTCCGCAGGTGCCGTAGGTGCTCCTTGACCCGGTCTAGGTGGCAACTGCAGGTAACTGTCATAGTTGATCTTTCTAGTACCATGCAATATGGTGGGGCTGGAAATCTAACAGGGCCAGTGGTTTGGGGTGTGGGCTTGTATTAGGATTTGGGGTCCAGGGGATAACCTTAAGCAAGTCTTTTTCTGATTCCTAGTTCCCCCAAGAATTAGGAGACTGTGAATTAAAGGAGATGTGATAAGAATTTTCGCAAAGTCCTAAGTCGATCCCGAGTCACGTCACCTAGCATGGCTGGGAATAAGAGCTTCTCAGGCTGTTCTCCCTGACGTTTCATTTTGATCGTGTGTGAAGAATGCGGCCTGTGGTGTAGCTGCAGTTCGTTTCTTTCTATACTGATGGGCCTCGGTTTTTCACTTCGTGAAAGTCTTTTTTTTTTTTTCCCCACCAACACAAACCAAAAGCTGTGGGCAGGAATGTATTTTCCCTCCTATTGTGGCTGGATGATGACACAGTCCTGATCTGTGGTGGCGTGTGGGACACAGTTGAAAGCAGAGTTGCTACAATAAGAAGTATGTCAGGGTGGAGTGTGGTGCTGCTAGCTCTAATCCCAGTTACTAGGATTTCTAAATGCAAAAGTTCAAAATCCAAGGCTTGCCTAGGCTACGTGGTGAGTTCAAGGCCAGGACTGGAACTTAGTAAGGGCTTACTTATACACTTAAAAAGGGCCGAGAATAGGACTCTGTGGGAGGACACATGCTTTGCACGCAGAGCAGAGGGCCTTAGTTCAACCCCCCAGTGCAAGGTGAGATAGAGGTGAACATATCCTCACCCTAGTCACATGCACATCTGTGTCGGTGGAAGCCCTATTCCAACAGTGATTCCAACAGTGAAGTCTTCACTCTCGTGCTTGTGGGAAAGACAAGAGAAAACTCGGTAAGAGGAAATTCAGTTTTGCTCAGAAGTGTAAACCTGTTTGGCAGTGGAGACCTAGCGCTGAGCACTGGCACCACAGGGTCCCTCAGAAGTGTGCTGCTGGGAGAAAAAGGAAAAAATGAAAACTTAATTTCTCTTCTCCCCACTGGATCTGAAGGGAGATATCTCACCTATATCCAGATACCCTCAATTGTCACACTTGTGTTACCATGGAAACAGCTCCGTTCTATCTGTAAAACATGTTGAAAAGGGTGGAATGGAACAGAAAATGTACTGTGTTTCCTGGCTTCGTGGGTTCAGCAAGAAGCAACTGTGCACAGAATTTAATATAAACGCGTTTGTAACGGGCATTTGTGACGTAACTAGTGCTTCTTAATCATTAAACCCTGACTCCTTTTGTTCCCTACTAAAGCCTGGTGTCTCATGAATCAGAACAGGGAGAACATGAGGAACATGAAAGGTGTTGGGCTTCTGGGAAATGTTGCTGGTGACTATGAAGGGGATAGGTGACTTTCTAGGCCTCTGAGACTACTCACACAGTATGCAATGAGTCTGCGAAAGAAATCCATTGGGTGAAAAAATAAATGTTTCAAAAAGGCAACTTTGAGGAGATCATTGCGGAAAGAGAAGGCTCGATGGTTAAGGGAGAAAAGGGGAAGCCTGGTGAATCTGAGCTCGAGGTTCTGAGGGAAACAGAACTTCAGTGTGATTCACTTCCCACAGCAGAGGGCGGGTAGTGCTGTTG